AGTCAAGAACAACAACAACATTTTATAAACGAAAACCTCTCCCCGAGCATTGGCTATTATATTATTTCCCTGTCAATGTTCCCATCTTCATTAAAAGGCGTAAAATGACAAAAACAAGATCTTGAAGAATCTATCTATATACTACTAAAACTCTGAGATTGTTTATTTGTTTGCTTATTTTCTCAGTCAAAAAATCATTCACACTACCGTTCGCGCTCTTTACGAAACTTCTTACTTTACTTTTTTGAAAAATGAAATGGTCTTTCCTTTACTCCCGATCAACAATCAAATATCTTTCTTGAATTATGAATAACACGAATGGATTGAAATATTAAATTAAAGTATCTAAAAATAAACCTTCATTTCGGTGCAATATTGAAATTAGCTTGAATTCTTCATAACCTCTGACTAGTGGTTGACCCAACGGGTCACGGTGGTCTAGTTACTCTAGTATATATATATAAGCCAATGGAGTCTGCTGGGTCAACATAGGATGAACTACACAAATGGGACAAGACAGGGACAAATGGAAGTGTTGGGTTGCTTGATGAGTCAATAATGATGCCAGACGGGCCTGGACAATTAGAAACACATACATTTTAGTCTGTAATGATCTTCCTTTATATTGTTATGAGGCAATATTTTATAAGTATTTTAATTTAGATGTTTGTTTACTAGAAGGAACACGACACAGGACCTAGGAAGTTCGTAAAAGTTAAGAGAAGTCTCGTGTAATATGTAGAAATACAAGTACAATATAGTACAAGATGGTTAGTTGTGTCAAAAAAGTTATTCAGTTCAGTGGGAGTTGGTGGGTCTGTCATCTGTGATCCATTTAGTAAGCTACTTGGTAATTCAGCGTACTTGTTTATCGATCGATTAAATTTTTTGAGTGAATTAGGCTTATCTTAATTTTCAAAATTTCAGTTGAAATTTTGAATTTAATGTTAGTTATACATTAGTTTTAGAGTTTCTGTTGGAAACTGTATTTAGGAAATTAGGCCTACAAATGAACGTGTTTTTGGTTAATGTATGCTGAAGAAATAAATAAATTATTTATCGTTAAATGAACTGAACTTCCATAACATTTATCAAATAATCCAGAAGAACCTGCCGAAAGATAGAACGCGCTATTAAAATATATATGGGAATTATTAAGCTTCAAACACTAGAAAATAAAAATAAGTATATTTTTTAGATTTATCGTTTTTAGTGAATGTATATGGACACACTTCTATTTCATTTAAAGAATCAAAAGGTTTTTGCACTCTATTTTTACCTATTTCTAAGATATCACCTAATAATTGTAATTAGAAAATAGGAAATAATAACAGCTTTTGTGAACAGTAGTGCAGCTTCTCAGTTCATACAGCTTGTTTTTAAATGCCTTCGTAGGTGTCGGTAGTATCGCTTTGTAAAGTGATTGTGGTGTTGTGATCTGTGTGATTTTAATGTAAAAGATAAAGCGAATATCAGTATTTGTACAATGATTTTATCATCATAACTACATTATTTAAACTTACTTTGTTTACGAACTTTTAAAGATTTTATTTAAATTTTCTATGCGAAATGCACGACATGTTAAATGTGATTTTTAATGTTAGTTTTATCATGTTGCAACTTGTAATTGAGAGTCGTACTCGTAGTTCAAATTTGTACTACTAGTAGTACTATATAAACTTGTGTAGTAAAGCGGCCGTAAGAGTTCAAATATAAATATATATCGTACTTAGAGTTAAGTTATACACGGATGAAACACGTATATCAAAATTTCATAGTATAGAGAAACAGGTTACAACAAAGACAAAAGTAAGCCATATTTTATCAATATTTGATGTACCTTGTAAGTATATATTGTAAACTGTCAAAAGTGACAGTAACACTGTAAATTCTATACCAGTGTCACTACACTTAACCAGTCGTTGAATTATTGTTTTTACTTTTCAGTTAGTGTAATGCTTCTGATGGAATGTTTATTGTGGAACACCCTGTTCGGTTATACAAAGACATGCTTGCTCAATTTAACTTTAACAGTTGAGCATATTTGGTATACAGTTGTAGCATAATCAGATAACTGATCAGTGATTCTTACATTTACACCATTTATTATCAGTGTCAAGGTAGATGACCAACACCAATGACAATGGACATGATTTTTGTTGTTTCTTTTTCTTATAAAATTAAGATTTCTATAACTTCATAGTTTACACTTTTCTTATGAAATATTTCTTGGTTAATTATATGAATGTGGAGGGGCCACATTTAGTTTGGTATTTGATACTTTTGATTGTAGGGAGGGCAACCTTAGTAGAACGAATGTCATTATGTTTTCTCGATATTTATTACTTGAAAATGTGTGACTTCACATCTTTCAATATATAAAACCCATTTCACATTTCTGACAAGATTCAGAGGGCATTCTAATGAAATAAAGTTGTAAAACAATAATTGTTACACTTGAGGGGGATTATTAAAGTCGGTTAATACCTAATCTGACATCAAGGCTTTTTATCTTAATATGAACACCTATAGAACATTTAAGGAATATTATTGGATCTCTGAAATACAGTATTAAACAGTTGTCAGAAAAACTCTATAGACTTTATGAAAAAAGGTGAAGTTGAGATATCCTAACTCGATTAATATCTTTTTACAATAATGAAGAACAGATGTTAAATATATTAATGCTGTTGGCCAAAAAAATCTTAAAATGAATAATGTGAAGCACAATGTTCTAACGAGACAATCTAGCAGAAGAAAAAGTTGCCAAACAAAAAAGAAATGTATGATGATTGGAAGATTGATAAAATAGTTACTATCTACAGGAATGAGGAGTTGAGGAATGATCCAAGAATTATCAGATTTTTATGTTTTTTGGTAAGGTGAAAAAATCTTTTTCTGTTAGCTGGATAATAACATTTTTTGAACTATAAAGTTTCAGTATAATACAAATAGTTAATTGCTAAAACATATTTTTTATTCTGCTTGTTGAAATATAAAGATTAGGTTAGAAATAGATTTTGTGTTCTTTTTTAAAAATGTTGATTTCTTTTTTAGATTTAGTTATATTTTAAGAAAGAAATGTTTGCTGTTTGTTAAATATTGGAAAACAATTATGGAGTTGTTGCAATTTGAAAATGAGTTGATATTGAAACTAGAAGAAGAAGATGGATTAGTTATTACAGCAAAGTAAGTAAACCTATTTGTTTTACAAATGCCATGATAATGAAGGATTGTCTTCTGTGTTTTATAAAATGAAATTACCTTTTATTCTGAAGAAGCACATTAAAATAAAACTAAGTTAAAGGTCAAGATAAAACAGTTTAGCTCAATGTAGACATTGTAGTAAAGATATTAATTTGGTGAAAAACAAAATAATTGATGTGGACATAAAACTAACATTTTGTAGTTTGTACTTATATATTTGCTCTTCAACATGGATTTATACTTTCACCAAATTTAAGATGAAAGATATTTTAAAACAACTTTCAGAGATATAAAGTCATTTTCATTTAATAATATAATCCAGCATTTCTTTTTAATTTTGAAACTTTACTACACATTAGAGTAGGTAAAAACATTAAATATCTTAAGTAGAAAAAAAATAGTTAAAGAGTGAACAAGGTTCTATTGGTTAAATACTAAAACCCTATTTATGTTTTATTAAATGCTGACAAATAATAAGTATGCTGAAGCAGTTGTGATTTTTATTGAATAGACTGTATTGGTTCTTCTTTTATATTTCCAATGGCACTTTAAATAAAGATCAGTACAAGGTTTTAAAGTACTAATATCTTTAACTTGTGCTCTTGACAGTCTGTAAGGATAACTACAAAATCCAGACAGTTTTGTTTTAGCATGATTAGTAATTAATTTTTTTATGAAATGAAACCTTTAATAGCAACATTCATTTAGGTTTTTATGTTAATATTACAGAGGTCTTGGTATTGAACGTGTGCTGCTTAATTTAATTAAAGTACACAGCCATCCTGAAAACTTGATTCTGATTCTAGGGACTTCTGCACATGAAGAGGTGAGAACACACTGAACAACATTTTGAGTTACACTTGTTCTTGTTAGGTAATTAGCCAGAAATCGTTTAACATAACATAATATTTATGACAACATGGGACCTATTGGTCCATCTCGACTGTTCCATCTTCAAAACTAAATTAAAATGATTAAAAAAAATAAAATAAAATAAAATTTTAAACCCAGCACTTTTTATTCATGTACTTATCAGGATTTTTCTTAAACTCACTTAAATTTACCGCCTCTACAACATCTGAAACTCACTTAAATTTACCGCCTCTACAACATCTGAAACTCACTTAAATTTACTGCCTCTACAACATCTGAAACTCACTTAAATTTACTGCCTCTACAACATCTGAAGGCAACCCGTTCCAAAGGCCAACCACCCTTTTAGACAAATAAAACTGTCTTAGCTGAAGATGACTCCTACCTTGCCAAAATTTAGTCCTACTATTCTCATTGTTAAATATAAAAAAAGATGATACATCAACACTATCAATTCCCTTTACAATCTTAAACAACTCACTCAGATCCCCCTAACTCTTTTTTTTTCAAGAGAAAACAATTTCATAGATTTCAGCCTCTCGTTGTATGACAACCCCTCCATCCCAGGCACCATTCTAGTGACCCTCCTCTGAACCTTTTTCAACAATTCAATGTCCTTCCTAAGGTAAGGAGCCCAAGACTGAACTCAATATTCCAAATGTTGCCTAACCAGTGACCTGTACAATGAAAGTATAACCTCTTTAGACTTGTATTCAATATTTCTGTAGATACAACCTAAAATCATATTTACCCTACCACTACCTATAGCACACTACTTGAAT